GATGATGGGGCAGGTTTTCTCTGAGTACTTCGGTTTCCCCTACCAATCTTCATTCCACCAAATTCTCCACCATCATAATCACCCGGGGCAGGACTCAGAGAAAACCCGCCCCAGCGCCACTTTGTCCATCACAAATCCCTCTTGAGCAGACCCGGGATCGAACCCAGGCCACCACGGTGGGAAGCCAGCGACTAACCGCTTGAGCTATGGCATGCCCTTAGCAGTCACTTAGCTTTGGAGGACTAAAAGCCTGTCAGTTAAACTTTCCTTACCATGTTGAGCAACATCTATACTAAATCTCCGGCAGGACAACCCAAAGGTTCATGGCTGTTAGAATCAAAGTTCACTATTGGCTGTGATCATGAGCCAGTTCCTCTCCTCACAATCTGTCTCCCTAAGACCCATCTTACTAATATAATCTGAAGGATCAGTAGCAAAGCCTGCAGTGGGATCCAGTCATGAACCAGTCCATCCACGCAACCTGTCTTCCAAGGATGTGCAGCTTATTCTCATTCCACCTCTCCAATGTACTGAATATAGGATTTATCTTGCAGACAGAATGGCCCATACATTTACTGGACCACTCAGCCAGTCCAAATGTTTTTGTGTAATAAAAATGAAGAAAAAAAACGGGCCTTGGGCTTGCACTATAGCAATAAAGAGGGAAAATTAGTTTGTTTTGGCAAGGTTATATATGTGATGGTTAATTAAAGACAAAAAACATTTTAATCTAAAATAATTTAATGGTAAGTTTAAATTAATACATTTATTTGATGCATACTGTAAAAATGGCAAGTGTGTTAAGGGCCAACACTTATGTAGAAGTTCCATTTATTTTGAGTTCATGTACGTACTCATTTGTACAAATTCTGTTACTTATTTCATCACAACTGCTTTCAAGAATATTCATTTTGTTGGGTTGTTTCAGTGTATGAAGTCATTCCAACCGCACTGCATATTCACAAGTGTCAACATATTTAACAATTCAAACTGAAGTGTAATTTAGCCTGTTTATTTGTAGTGTCATCTCCAGAACACCAGACTACACTACCATGACTCTGTTACAAATAACTCAGCAAGTCAGATTCAACCGAATCAAAATCTTTCTTCAATAACACTTTTAAGTGCCCCAGTGGTTTCCTTATTTCTGAATTGTTTTCATAACATTAAAAATGAAGTGTGCTTGCTTGATTGTCAAGTTACAGTAACCCCTCAACCAAATGAGAATTGCTCTCATATGTCAGTTCTTGTTTTGGTAAGATTTAACATTTCATAGCAGCAAAAGCTTAAACTGTAGTCTTCTGGGATGATAGCTGTACAATCTCGTGGGCAGTAGTGGTATACCATGAGGATGGAGGCAAGAAGTTCCTCAGAAACACAAGTAATAATGCAACACAGACGACCACAGTGTAAACCTTCCCACTTCTGTTTCAGTTTCTCTCCTAAAGCCAAACATGCCAGTGTTAAATTGGATTGCTCACGAATTGATTCCATCTCTGCAGTGAAAGTCTGGCAATCAGTCAAGTTCTCACAGACCCTCATACATTTAAAACATGCACCACCATGTCATTTTGTGAGTTTGCACATGTAAGAGCTACACTGTCTGTAATAGCATGTTACTCTGTAAATTGATACTGAAATATAGAGATTCTAAAGGGTTCTGATGATAGTGCGTAAGGCTCAGAATTACTGGGATTTTGGAGTTTCTCCATTGTCCAGTATTCAAAATATAAGAAACACAAGGATTCAGAAACTGGATCTGTTTTCCAGTTTTTAGAATACTGGCCAATGGAGAAACTCCAAAACCCCAGTAATTCTGAATACTGAAATTTGTTTGTACAAGTGACCATAACACCTGTGAACCAGTTCCCTTGATCAGTAATACTTTTATATTTATGAGATACAACAAATAATTATTGCATACTTCTAAGTGAAGTCATAGCAGACAGAAGGCGTAGTAATTCCCCTTCTGTCTGTGTCAGTTTGTCAGTGTTGCTCAGACGCACTTCCTCTGGAACTTTGGTGCAGTAGTCTGGAGCAGCCATTGCTTGCTTCAGCTTGCTTACTTGTTGCTCAAGTTGGTCCTGTTTCTTCTGAAGTTTCACTAGCTCCTTGGCTGGATCAATCAGTCCCTGCATACAAATGGGGACATTTCACCAGCTATATATACATATGTAACTCTTCAGTTTTCCATTTAATACCATAGACTTTAATCAGAACACCTAACAATATTATGAATTTTGCTCTGTATACTTGTGACTGCATGGTAGCCATGGTTACTAAGGCAAAGTAAAAGTATCACATTAGAGTTCTAGGTGTGACTTAGTGAGTGTTAATCCTTCTGTAACTAATAATATATATGTTGTGCTACTGAAAAGGAAAGCAACCATCCATAGGCAAAAAATGGTTACTTTTTTAGTGAATATATGTAAAGCAACCATAAATAAGTACGAAAAATAAGCAATCCTTTTTAACATATATAGAAAGTCACTTATTGTTACACTTCTTTAAAGAATTTAGAAGTGGCAAGCAATACTGTTCCTCATTCAAAGAACTCTGTTTTGCAATGTCATGTAAAGACATGTATAATGGTTGTCGCAACTTAGACTATACCGTGACCATCACTGCGGTACACAAAACGTCTATGAAATATTCATTTCTGAAGTCTTCTACCTCTAGTGACAAGATAATTGTTCACAAAGGATACCTACAGTTTTGGTCTAAACCACATATCTTTCTTTTCATAGCTCATTCACTGATGCCAACTGCTCAAATCATACAGGATAGATAGTGAATAATAAATTGGAAGTAAAAGGAAGTGGCTGTGGCCTAATTTAAAGCATTATTTTGGTATTTGCTGTGGTACACAGAGAAAAACTATGAAAACCCTCAGTCAGGAGAGCCAACCTCCAGACTTATTTGAATGTGGGGCATCCAGAATACAAAGCAGGAATGCTGACCACATGACTGGCATTCTGATGCACAATATGGTGTGTGCGCTTGGAACTCCCCATCACTCATACCTTTAGCAACAAGTGCACCTCGCACTTGTCAGACAGTGTCAGTATGGCACAGCCCTGTGGTGGAGACATGCTGAATTCCACTTTGGAACAATATGCCAAGGTACACATGGCAGAACAGTATTTCCGCAGAACAACAGCTATCTCATCAGAACACACCATGTACACTGGAACACAACCGAAAGCAATTGCAAATGAAAAATATTCAGATTTGCTTTTTCTTGTAGGTTATACACTTTCTCTGTTGCAGTGATATGCAGAAGTTTGTGTAAATCATGGTAAGCCATGATACATGTAGTGTCTTAGACAAAATTTCAATGTCTATCACCATGAAGGAGAATCCCTCTTGAAAAAGTAATAGTTACTCAAGTAGTGAAATCCCCTAGCTTTTATGGGACCTGAACATTTAGTGTCATGTTCACAACAGCCCACTACTGTACACTATCCTGAGATACACATGTTGCTGATGACGTTTGAGGGATTAAAATGGTAATTTCAGAACCATGAACAGACTTTCCTCCACAACAAAACCAACAGAAAACTCCAGAGATTCTCACTTGCCCTCACTAAAAACTGTTCTGTACTTCTTTCTTGGCACGCGGTAGCATAGTTGATTGAGGCACTATGCTATAATCTGGGAGGTCATGGGATCAAATCTCAACAAGGTGGATTTTTCAATATACCTAATCCTTCCAGCTGCACTATGGCCCTGGGGTTGACTCAGCCTCTAACAGAAATGAGTACCAAGAATATTCTTGGGGGTAAACGGCGGCTGGCGCATAAGGCTGACAACCTTACCACCATCTATGAGTCAACTGTCTACAGAATGTGGGAACCTCAACATCTGACAACCCTATGGGCCTCCATGGCCTGTTACTTTACTTCTTTCTTGAGCCCTTATATCTGCTACAATCAGAAATGTCTCTCAGTGAGTGGACAAATCTCAAACCATTCCTCATATATTGGATTTGAGTGTCTCAGAGCAGGGACTATGAAAAGTTCTCTGTCTCCTGAGATATACTCGTATTGCTATGCAGTCCAGTGAACATCGACAGAAGTATATACTGCCCCATCTTCAAGGTCAAGGAGGAAGCTAAGAGCAGTTACTCTTCTCTTGTGTATTTTTCTCAGAAAGAGCCAATGGGAGTGCACTGATTGATGCAAATTCCATCCTAGTGCCTTCATTCCCAATATAATATTCATGAATAGCATTTTTATAATACATAATTATAACTGATATCTTGTTTTAATATTGTTAATACAGTAGTGACACAAGGTAAATTAAGACATACCTTCAGTTTTGGTTTTGTTTGGAAGATTGTAATCTGACCTTGCAGACCTAACAATGTGCACAATCTTCTGCACAAATTCAACTTGAGATTCCACTTCAGTATTTCTCCATGGACACTGGAACAGAATTACAGTGTCACAAGCAAGGCATTCAGTTGTGCTGATCTGTCCCAGTCGGTTCCAAATGCTACTGGTTTCTTCTGACCTTACTTGTGAGAGAGACTGTACCAAAGTCTGACAGTAATAGCCATAAAGCATCCCTTTGTTTCATGATTCTGAATAGGAACTGCATCAGACAACTACCACTATCTATGAGTCAACTGTCTAGAAAATGTGTAAGCCTCAACATCGCACAACCCTACTGAATTGAATTGAATGGGCCTCCACTGCCTGTTACAGTGTTAGCTTTACCTGCTTACCTTTCATATGAACTTCAGTATGACATACTAGGATTGAGAATCTCACAGTGCTGACTACAAGAACAGTAAACCCTCAGATGAAAATATGAAAAATGTTGTTCACAGTTGAGTACATACTCTAAAAGACGCATGGCATTTAGGAAGGCAGACAAGTAACTTGTCTGTTCAGACCAAATTTTGACAGTGTCTTCAAACCTGCATTACTATGTTCAAAAACAAGTATAACTTCTGAGTCTTCTATCAATTAAAAAATGCATTGTCTTTTGTATGTTTTAAATAACAGCTTTACAGTGACACCTTCTTACTTATTTTCATTTATTTGTGAGCTTTTTTTTTTTTTTTTTTGTATTCACAAGCAATCTTCAACTTATCCAATACGGGAACACTCATGTGTGCCACAATAATAACATTATACCTCATTTAAATCTGGATACTGTGCAATACAGATGCTAGGAGCATCCTGTCCAGGTATATGTGGAAGCCTTTGAAATAATTCTTCTGTAATGAATGGCATAAACGGTGAGAGCAAGCGAAGACCCACATGAAGACAGGTGTACAAGACTGTCTTGGCTGTCAGAACAGTTGTCGTGTCCTTGCTCTGAAACACTGGCTTCAGGCACTCAAGATATACATCACAAAGTTCATACAACCAAAGATTGTAACAGGCAGTTGTAACCATTGGAAAGTCGTAATTTTCAAATCCCTTGTTACACTGATCCACTGCTGCTGATATGCGACTAAGCATCCACAGGTCCATTGCTGTCTCATTTCCAACAACCTTGAAAAGATATACGATATTAATAATATGAAACAGGGTGCTGAGAATATTTGGACCAAAATGTGATGAAGTGACAGGAGGCTGGAGAAAACTGCATAATGAGGAGCTTCATAACTTGTACTCTTCTCCAAGTATAATTAGAATGATCAAGTCAAAGAGGATGAGATGGGCAGGGCATGTACAATAAGAACACAGAGCTCTTTGGTGAGAAAGCCAGAAGGAAAGCAACCACTATGAAGATGCAACGTAGGTGAGTGGATGATATTAAAATGGATTTTAGAGAGACGATGGGGTGGTATGGACTGGATTGATCTGGTTCAGGATAGCTACCAGTGGAAAACTTCTGTGAACACAGCAATGAACCTTTGGGTTCCACAAAATATTGGGAAATTGTTGAGTAGCTGCGCAACTGGTGCCTTCTTGGGAAGGGCTCAGCTCCATGGAGTTAGTTATTAATAATATGACATAACTTGCAAACCTGGCCACTTTACGGTGAAGTTCAAGAACCTTGTTTCCAAGGTGGGGCAGCCATCAAATTTGCTTATAAACTTAGGTTTGAGCCATTTAAGACCATTTTTATTAATTACCCCACAGTATTCAGGGTAGAATAATATATTTTTCTAAATACTTCCAATTTTTATTATTAATATTTCATAGTTTTCTTTTCTTCATTTTTGGACTTAGTTCCAAAATATCTTAGGGGAAATTTCATCATAAAACATTATACTGTCAGTGAGAAGTGTGCAGTGAAGCACACCCTTATACAGTAATGAAACACCTGACCTGAACAAACTGTATGCTCACCTTGCATCCGCTGCTTCCAAGTTCAGATGATCTGAAACAACTTCTGTCTTCGCCAAAACTACCAATGTGCCTAAACCATCTCTGTAAATGTGGGTACCTTCCTCTAATGCCTGTATCACACACATCAACATTCTCACTCAAACTTTCATATACAGCACAATCAGCATGGGATGGGGTGAATCCATCTATGTAACTGTTATCTGCAAGGTGCAAATTCAAAATTTCCAGAGCTCTGTTCAGCTGCAACACTTCTTTATGCTGCAAGCAGTCTGAAACCACAGACTCAACATTTCCCAACCTAGATGAGTTGATGCATTCATTTCTCTCATGTCCTCTTCCTAATCTTACATTCTGAATCTTCTGATCAGGTCTGAAGTCATCACCCAAATACGTGAGGGCAAATTTCGTTGCATTCCACAATTTATTACAGAAGAATCGGTATCCCTGAACACGAAGGATGTCCAAATTGATATCTCGGCCTAGAAAATTTCAAATTAAAAACTTTGAACAATAGAACCATTATCCCAATTACTACACCCACACACCGTATATATGTCAGATTCGTGTTCCCTCGCCACCTGCATGAATTCCACAGTCATAAGGAACACTGGATCTTGAAGTTACTCTTAAGTCCTCTCATGAGACATTTATCAGACTCTGTATAGAGTACATATGTTTTTAAAAGGAATCATGCATTAATTTTGCATGACATATAATATTCAATGCCAATGGAACCATTTCAAAAGCCATACTATTAAAAAAAAACAATATGTAACACTAATGACAGTCACCTTGTGATACGTATGCACAAAGTGCAAACCTCAGCGCATCAGTACCGCATTCTGGTATGCCATTTGGGTAGTCTTGCTTCTGTCCTTCTTTAGCCTTCTCGATTTCTTTTGGATCCAGATTACTGCCAAGAAGCTGCTGCTGAAGTTTCTAAAGAAATGTCACATTTTATTTCATGCAGTCATCAACACTCACTTAACTTTCAAGAACAGAAGTTGTAATTATGAGTATTTCTTGGGAAACTTAACAATATTCAAAACAACCATACTGTAATGAAGCTTCGCTACTTCATCACTTTCTGGAAAACGTGAGTTGCTCTCAGATCTTCCACTGTTCATATAATGTGGCAAAAACTGTGTATTGTTTTATATCCAGAAGCAATATCTCAATATAGAGAAAGTCAAAGTCAAAATCGAAATACAAAAACAATGAAACAAGTATGACTTAGAACAAGGACTTCACTAGTGCTATCAAAACCATCTGAATCATCAGTTTGTTTACACTGTAAATATATAGAAGACCATCACATAAAACAAGGGCTTCTCTCTGGCAAGTTTGTCATAATGAGTGATTCCTAACTAACCACCACTGTTTCCTGCAATCTTTTTCACCAACTATCCTTGCAATTTTGCTTCCAAAGTTATTGCCAGCAGCCCATAGAGGTCCTGTAAACCCACCCTCTCTGCCCTCTCCTTGCCTAGGAGAAAGTGTATTCCAGAATCTGTGAGTAGCCCACCCACCCCCTCCATGTGTACATCACGTACTGCACCAGGCAGTATCTTTCCCTCCTTGTCACACATGATTCCTCCTCCCCCTGAGCTTCCTCTGGCCTAGATCATGCAATTCAACTAAGCAGGCACATGTTTATGGTTCTGTCACATCAGATATCTACTGTGTTTTGGTTGGTGCAGGATGAAAAATTTTTAAAAACCTTAATCACGGCAATGAAATGGAAAAGCTTAGACCTGAATATGGAACTTGAAATAATATGTCTGTGTGAAGTTGGCAGATCATCAAAACATGAACTGATTAACTTCTTTGACATTGTCTATGAAACTGAAATGTAAAGAGAAAACACAGCATACACTAAACCTAAGCAAAGTAATGCCTTTCCTTCCTTTCATGAGCACATATTTGTGAAATATCTTTTGTGAGCATGTGACAATACATACTGAGATACCATGTGTGAAAACTACATATGGTCATCATCCTGCCAAGGTATCTTCATGTCTCATCTCTCTCAGTTTCAGTTTGTCTTCTTGTTTAAAAAATTATAATTTCTAAGAATGGTTATTCTTATCTCTTTCATACATGAGGGTTGTCCAGTAAGTAACATCCAAGGGTGGCCATGCCATAGCTCAAGCAGTTAGTAGCTGGCTTCCCACCACGGCGGCCCGGGTTCAATCCTGGGTCTGGTCAAGTGGGATTTGTGGTGGACAAAGTGGCACTGGGGCGAGTTTTCTCCGAGTACAGTCAACTCTCGATTATCCGGGGGCGGATTAACCGGTTTGCGGCTTAACCGGGGCTACTGACGCTTTTTTGAGGCTTATATGTTGTTTAACATTCATTCACTTTTGTTTCACATGGCGAGTTGTAACACTATTTTCGCACTAGTGTGAACCGAGCTCTGCATTCTTTGGTCCCGTTATGCTAACACAATGTTCTAGGGTAGGGGTGAAAGAATGCAAGGATTTGTGGAAAGTTTCAAGGACAGATACATCGCCCCAGTTAGTATCTTTGTATTGATCTTCAAGTGCGTTAGCAAAATGTCAGTCTGTAAAAGGAAGCGTGTTGTGTTAAGTATTCAACAGAAAAAGGAAAATGCCGTGAAAAAGTAAACGACAATATTAAATTTTTTTAAGTGTTAAGTGTGAATGTTCGTAAAAAGTGTTGGATGTTGTCGAAGACTGTGATTGAAATAACTAATTCATACTTCAGTGTAATGTAAAAAAAGTATTAAATAGGCCATGAGATGACATAAAAATGAGGTTGAATAAATTTAAATGCAGGTAGGCCTATAGTATTATGAAGGTACAGTATTACAGTGCTACTTTTAATAAAATTTGTCTTAACCGGGTTTTCGATTAATCGTGATTTCCATCCCCACCATTATCCCGGATAATCGAGAGTTGACTGTACTTCGGTTTCCCCTTCCAATCTCCATTCCACCAAATTCTCGATCATAATCACCCAGGCCAAGTTACAATAGTCCAATAAGTGGCCGCTGTGCCAAGTGGACCCAGCTGGACTCCACCACCCCCTAAGCGAATAAGCGAACATCCAAGGGCATTTTACCTCATCCTTCTCACCGACAGAGATATTTGTTACTAAAGCAGAGTAAGGGTACAGATTATCAAGGGAAGAGTAGGGCAAATACTGAAGGGAAAGAAAGGGACAAAGACTGCAAGAAACATATTATTGACATAACACATCTGTCCAGACAATGTTACTAACCTCTAATGTGATGCCTGTGATCACATCCATTGGATCAATCACATTGCCAAGGGACTTGCTCATTTTCCTACCGTGAGCATCTCGAACAATTGGATGGAGGTATACTTCCCGAAATGGAAGTTGTTTCAAGAGCTTCTGGCCAAAGAACACCATCCGAGCAACCCAGAAGAAAAGAATATCATGTCCTGTTTCCAATAGAGTTCCTGGATAAAATGCTCTAAGATCATCTGTCTGAAAAAGAAACAGACCCATCAGAATGCTGAATACAACTGTATTATTTATGGGTGAACAGTGGAACAAAAGACATATTACCTCATCTGGCCAACCAAATATGGAGAATGGAAACAGGCCTGAAGAAAACCATGTATCAAGGACATCTTCATCCTGCTTCAGTGTGATCTTTGAACTTGGAACTCCAAATTTCTTGCATGCCTTATCCAGTGCTTCTTCTCTGTTACGTCCACTGACCCAGTATTCATTATCACTCTCCTAAGGAAAATCAGTTGAGAGATGCATTTGAATAAGAAACCTCACAGACATTGCATTCAGACGATCTTAATAATTTATGTCAATGGCAATATGCAACAGGATCTAAATAAACATGCTCCTAAGTGTATAATAAATATCATTTAGAAGAAATTCTTCTCTTCTTTGGATTTTTGGATTAAGTCATCTGGTCTGTTCCAATTCAGAATTACTTTCAGATAATATGAATCAACAGGCAACTGTCAGGCCATCGCAGGGCCTAAAAACAAACGTTGGAGTGGATAGAGTATTTGTTAGGGCAAGAGCCTGCAAGGGTAATGAGCAGTTCTCATTCACAGTGAAGATAAAACAGCAAATCCTGTGCCGCGTGCATAAAAGTATTGTTATCCACATTCAACTTACACTGCCTGCTGGAATGGAGGCATCATCCACAGCAACAAAATATGCTGGAATTCTGTGACCCCACCACAGCTGTCTCGACACACACCAGTCCCTGTACCAGTAACACATTCTCATTAGTTCCGTACTTAGAGCTGCAAATTATGAGCATTATCTCAGTCACCAGTCTCCTCCTAGTGGCTTCAGAGCTTGAAGGCAGAATCACTACACTTAAGGAAGAGGGAGGAACAAAATCTGTACAACTACCTGCAGCTAACTGCTGTAACATATCAGAGGGCAAGTTCATTCTAACCAACTGCATCGATCAGATTTCTCCTTGAGAAGTTGCTGTCCATTCCACTAGTCAAAAAACTCCCAATATCTTATGGAGCCAGATTTATTCATATCATGTTTGCAAGAGCCTGCAAGTTGATAGTTTTAACAATTTTAATGAAACTGAGCTCACTATAATCAAACAGTATGAAGACTGTGTTTCTAATATCTGCTTGCTATATGACGTTTTCCTTATACATTAAATTTTACTTAGATTGTTTACTGGGGATAAGAACAGCTCCCGTTCACTTCCATTCTTCAACTGACCTAATATTATCCATCCAATGGAACCATATTTTTGTATGGTGTTCAGGAATGATCTTCAGCTCACCATTTCTTACAGCTTCTTTTGCAGATTCTGCCATTTCATCACATCTGACATACCTAGTGGATGTAAAGCACAGTATTTAATTAAACATAAGATCACCACCCAACTTCCCTAAGTACAAAACTGTATAGAATCATCACAACAAACTATTCATCAGATTAGTTATACTGAAATTATACCTTCAGTTGGTAAAATTTGAGTTTTAGTAAAGCAGAAGGAAACCAATATTTGTCAATGCTATATTTCATTTTTTGACTGAAGAGCAGAGCAATTGTAACTGTATATAAAAAGTGAGGGTGTCCACGCCAGTTCAGTGACTGCAACATATTAGAAGAATTCCACCCACACAAGTTTAATCACGTTGATCACTACATCACAATGTTCAAAATTCTAACAGAACTTTCTTAGATTTGAACTAATGCAATATAATCAATACTTAATGTCCACTTTCTATCAATGTAACATATTAAAAATGGTGGAGCTATACCTCCACTCCCCCTTCACTATACTGACTGAGCTATCCTGGCTCCCATTTAGGGGATCAGTGTTCAAAGAACTGTAAAAAACATTACAGGGACTTTGACTGTTATTGCCTGGGAACAGAGATTTTAAATATCACTGTGCTTTAGGGTTGGTAGACACACTATATTAATTCAAGCGTAAGGGTATCAGCAATGCATGCCCAGAAAATGTTAAAAACGTCTACAGAACAAACTCATCTCTTACTGAGTGGGGTAACACCTCTTCAAGATAGTTTCTTACCACCTGTATTGTTTTAATATCTTTATGTGAAGTGGAGGAAAGATAAAGCTAGAGAGGGTTCGTTAGTGTAGGTCACCCTCCTAAATCTGGCTTCAGTTTCTAAAAGCGCACACATATAAACACTATGCATATTCATGTTTTCAGTGAATTACCACTGTGGTTTGATGAGTGGTTCAACCACATCCTTTGATCTGCTACAAATTGGAACCACCATGGGGTTGTTTACAGTTTCTCGATATAATCCTCTTTCCTTCAAAGCCTCAGTTATGGCATTACGTGCATGGAACCTTTTCATACCCTGTAACAAATTGGACATCATATTTTTACTCCTCTTCTTATGTGTCATAAGAATATTACATGTTGCTTATCAACAAAGCTAACTGTGCTTTAAAATTACCTTAAATTAAACTGAGGAATATATGAAATACATAAATCATTGCTGAAGTAATGAAATATAAAACACTGTCAGAAAGCTTCCATCATCTTAACTTTCGTGTTCAGGTCAACAGCCAAAAGACTTCCATCACAAATTTAATTTACTGTCAGCAGGAACATTATACTGTCCTATTCAACCCCCACCCTCTTTCTTGCACAAATTAATTTGGAGTTGGTAGGAGTGGGATTCAACACAAATGTTGGGAAAGGGATAACATAACCCTCAGTGCAAGAAAAAATACCATAAATAAAACAAACTGTTACGTCTAGCACACATTCTTGCTAGAAGAGAAATATTTCCCCACTGCATACCCCAAAATATGAACAGTCATTTGAGTTTTTTTTTCTTTCAAGTCACACATATTTTGGGTCCTCGTTTAAATTATGACAACTGAAGAATTTACTCACAGAAAACATTCCATAATCACCAATGATATATCCATCATCACTAAAAATAGTGATAAAAGGAAGATTGTGACGTCTGCCAATATCATAATCATTGGGATCATGCGCAGGAGTTATTTTGACAGCACCTGAAACACAAATGTTGTGACTTGGCCCACAGCATTGCTCATGGCAACATGCCTGCAGCATAAAATATTGCACTACAACTATAGTCAGTGCTTATAACACCATGTTCTCAGGATTACCTTTATTTAGAGCTTTCACTAATGACTCCAATGTTGGTACACTGTTTCATTTTATTTACTTTTGGTTTCTTTAATCACCCTTTCAATTGCTCAGATGATACAGTATCAAATTACAGGATGATTACTAAACAGTTAGTTGGAAAAGGGTGGAAAGAATTGGTTCTGGCCTTACTTACGGTACAATCATAGCATCTGCCTGGAGAAGCTGATGAAAATCATGAAAACCTCATTCAGGACAGCCAGTCTCCAGGCTGAGGTCTGAACCTCGAAAACCCTGAATACAAATCAACAATGGTACCAGCCCTACCACAATTCCTGTCTGAAGTTTCTCACCTGTGCCAAATTCCCTGTCCACAAAGTCATCACACACAATTGGCAGTTTCCTATCACAGAAAGGATGCACAACAAATTTGCCATGCAGATGCTTGTAACGTGTGTCTTCAGGATGCACTGCAACAGCCGTATCTCCCAACATGGTCTCCACACGTGTAGTGGCCACCACCACCTCATCCTCACCACCTTCCACTGTATATGCAAAAGAGACCAACACGCCAAACTCCACCTTCTCCGTGTAGCCCGGTACTGAGAGCAATGTGCGACCACTCAACTCAATTTTGTCCACCTGTAACATAATGCTGTTATTCACAATGAGGCAGATGTTATAAGCCATGACTGAGGGTTTTATGGTGTTGAAGAGTCATGCTGTGGTCCTCTGAGTGCAGTCTGGTAGGCAGTTGTCAATGTTTCTTGGAGACATTGTAACCCACCTACAAATTGGATGATGCAAAATGAACATGCAATGTTAATGCTACTGTGCTGCATTCCACAGCTGACAACACAGGGAGCACAGGGTCCCCAAATCCAAATTTAGGTGCCTAATCCACATGACAGCTGGAAAAGTGTACAGCATACTACACAGTGGCAAATTTGCAAGGAAGGTATATTCACAGCAGTGATGTGACGATTCAGACTGTCTCACAAGTTACAACTGTGTGTAATCTTGTGGTGAATACCAACATTTTGGAGGAACATGCTGCCTCTATCTTCTGGGTATAAAGCAAACTGACTGAGGTGTGGCTACATTATAGAGGGAGGGCAGTGAATGCAAATGCAGAACAGGAAAGGCCCTAAAAGGAACCCTCCAGAAGGAAGACCAAGGTCAAGTTAGTAGTAGTGCACACCTGTGCTCAAAGAGATGGCCCTTTTAGGGCCTTTCCTATTCCATTCCTATTGGCCACCCTTGTATTGGCAACTGATAATTGAGGAGCTATTTCAAGGAAATAGTGGCTCCAGTCTAGAAAACCGAAATTAACGGCCGTGGAGATTCGTTGCGCTGACCACGAGACACCCTCTATCTGCAAAAGTTTGTACTAAAAACTTTGACGACAAGCTGCAGTTGCTCAGTTGGTATAGTTCGCTTGCAGACTACAGGCCACAGAGTTTGTTTTTTTCTTGTTTTTGTGTAGCCAACTAACATCCAGCTCGCTTTATTTCTACCCTGAAGATGGAGGCAAGAGGTACCTTGAAAAGTTGATAACTGCATACAAGACTACAAGGTGTCACAAGTCAAAAGCCAACCTGAAAAGGTATAATATTTATGCCTGAGTGTTCACAACACTGATATACAAATATATCACCATGTACTTCGCTCAGCAGCTGTTAGCATAAATCAGCCATATCAGATCAGACAAACAGCTTTAACAGTTGACAAATCTACAGAGAAATTTTGATCTGATGTAGCTCAACCTCAACTTTGCTAAGCATCTTGTGAGTTTATTTACTGGTCTGAATTCAGTCAAAATCTGCCAGTTTGAACCAAGGTGTTCCATATAAAGATAATTATTCCAGTATGATTTTGTGCAAGTGTCTGTGATACTTCCAGTAATCACCAACAGACTGGAACAGTGCAAACTAAGTTACCCACAGAAATACAGAAAGCTAATGACTACCATACAAACCTCAATATCAGAAATAGCAGATTTCAATGTGCAAGACCAGTTCACTAGCCTATTGCTACGATAAATAACCCCTTCGTCATGCAACCGGACAAAGGCTTCAGTCACAGCTCTACACAACTGCGGATCCATAGTAAAACGGGCTCTTGTCCAATCAAAAGAGGAACCCAGCTTGCGCAACTGCAGATAGATTGTGTCACCCTTCCTAAAACAAAAAACAGACTTTAATATTATAACCAGATAAAAAGAAGTGGCATGACAATGCACACAATACAAGACAATCTGACATGTCACTTTTCACTGAAATGAAGTATGGTTAAATAATGCTGTTGTCTCTTGCCAAGTAAGGATCCTACTGACCTTGTCAAAAAACAGAGTTCGTAAGTTAAAAATGTGCTATAACGGGGGCCATGCAGTCCTTAAAGCAGGATGTGGATCAGGCAAAGAAACACAGAATATCACAGGAATAGGAGTAGGAAGTGTCTTTTCATGTTTTGTGTTTCTGCTGTATATCAAGTGTCAATTATGCTCAGTGTCATGCATACTTCTAGTATTCAGGTATTCATAATGCTTTAAAGCAAATAAGTGACTGTTGAGAATTATACAGTATGCGCCAAAAATGCAGTACTGAAACTCGCGCGTCTCAAACTCGCATGTGCATTTGTCGATGGGGCATAGCTCCAGACGCATGTGTTCCCAGTAGTGAAAAGGAAGTAGTGTTGTGCAGTTGTTGGAAATGGGTCTCTTGACAGAGGAAATAGTATTCATAGTTAAGTATTATTTCTGCTCATATGGAAGTGGTTGCCAGAAAACTCACTTCTTTGGTTTAGAGCAGCCATATGTTATCATCCAGAAACCCTTACATAGTACATGTGTGACGATATGGTGTGCCGTCTCAGCACATGGTATATTAGGCCCCTATTTCATTGAGGATGAGGAAAACTACAGGGACATGGTGATCGGACCATTTCATCAGGATTTGAGAAGGTTCTGTCGTGCAAGGGGCCGTCACATGAATAGACAGTGGTATCAACAGGACGTCTTTTCATTTCAGTACTGTATTTTGGCACATACTGTACTTTTGACTTGTCAGTTAAACCACAAATCAAACACCTATACATACTCTCTACGCCATTCCCAAATCTTTTCAATGAACTTCTCTCGTCCCATGTCATGTCTAGTCTTATTCTCTTCCCTCCAGACTTTCTTCTCAACCACAACTTGTGTTGCAATACCAGCATGGTCACAGCCAGGATTCCAAAGGACAGTTCGCCCTTTCATTCGATGCCTGTCCACAGCAGCATGAAATGGCAGTAAGAATATTTGGTTACTTCACAGTCTGTAAGAAAACTGAGGCAACTAATTTATCAAGCTACAGCATTATAAGAATGTTACTGTCCACATGAGTTCTTGTTTCTTTTCTTGTGGTGTTGTCAGTAGCTAAAGTCTCTCTCTGTGTATGCGTGTACAGAGAGAGCTGAATGGCAGGACAGATTCATTCATTCATTCTTTCCTTTATTTTCCATATATCCATACAGGTAACAAACCTAGGATGTGGAAATGGTCCCTTTGAAAATATATATATCAAGACACATTTACAAAATTACACGAGTCACACAATAAAAATCACTTACATTAATCAATTAACATAAATAATATAAACTAAAAAATGTGATAAGATAATTTAAATATAACTTACTATAAAACTTGAATTAATAATTTTATTTTAATAACCTATATTAACTGAATTAAATACATTACAAATTTACACACTTATGACCAATTATGTTGATAATATTCATTCTTGCAATAAAGAACTTCTTCAATGCAGATTTAAAACTTCTCTCATCAGTAGCCAACATTTTTATTGTTTGAGGAAGATGATTAAAAAATTTAATACCTGATATGTACGCACCTTTATTAGATTTTTTTAGGTTAACTGCAGGTAAATATAAATTATTGAGGGCTCTAGTTTTGTATTTGTGAACCTCACTGTTAAAATTAAATAATTGTTTATTATTAATTGTGTATAAAAGTAATGAATGTGTGTACTGAGAGTAGAACGTCATTATTTCCAAATTCTTGAAATGTCCCAACAAGACTCTCTTGGTCTAGAATTTGTTATAATTCTAATAACTTTCTTTTGCAATATAAAAACTTCGTTAACACAGAAAGAGCCACCCCAAAAATTTACCATAACTTATGACAGAATGTATATGAGCAAACTAAATTAGCTTTAACATATCTAAAGGGACCATATATTTTATATTTCTCAATGCATAACATGCAATGGAAATTTTATTAATAACATAATCAATATGCTGCTGCCACGAAAGAGTATCATCAGTAATTAATTTTATGCATGATCAATTTGAAATGATATGGAAGGAGCTGGTCATGACATTTCTCTGTGTGAAGAACAAACAATATTCACAGCATAACAAAAAAGAACCGAATAAACTCTAAGTCTCTCCCTCAGACAGTGTTAATAACATAGCACTGGCAACAAGGGACAGGTACCATGGCTAGAGAGGACTCAGCTTTGCCCAGGCTCCAAGCCTTGGTGGGTTCTTTTACACCTTCAAGCAGCCCAAGCTTAACTGAAAATTTGATTTTTTTCATTCTGGTCCGTCACACTAACACTGCTATGATTGTGAAACTTTTGACTTTATACATATTGTGCATTATAGGATATAAGTGTATGTATTTTAAATCAAAACACCTATTGTGATGGTAGTTTCCAGGTTGTAATGATGTTCCCTCTGAATATGGCCTGTAAGGACTGAAACATGTAAGGGAGATAAGTTTTAATGTAGTAAAACCTTATTGTCACATTGGATGGAGTGGTTTGTATTTTTAACTGAAAATATTATTAATTTTCTTAACATATTTTAAATGCAATTATAAAGCTAAATATATATATAAAAATGAAAAACAAAAAAAAAATTGTATGAAGGTGACTTCAAGCTTATCTATAATCTTTTACTGATTCAAAATTTATGCCTTTCAGCTTCACAATTCTGACAATCAGCTCTGCACAGCCAGCAACAAAGCATCATGCTTTTGGCATGTTTAGGTTGGGATGAGGGGTTGTCAGATACTGTATGGGGACCCACACTCTTAAGCTACACTTGCACACCCACATCTCTGACAATGACTGGCAACATTAATCCTATGAAAATTATAAGACTGGATGTAAAAGATAAAAATGTGTACGAAAATAATAGTTTTACCATCTTGTAAGTGCATCCTGAATTGCATTTGTAAGAGCATGGCCAAGATGTAATGAACCAGTCACATTTGGAGGAGGAATCACCATCACAAACTTCCCTTTGGGATTGGCTTCTAGCACACTCTTCCTCTGAAAATAAACATCAAATGTAACACAGCACACACTTAATTATGAGGCCACAGCAAAATCTGCAGAAGGCAGAACCTGTGACACACAGTCACTATCCACTTATATCACATCAGTTATCTTGTCTTTAATACTCTAATCACTGCAGTTCTGGCTTTGATCCCTGCCTCTGACAGTAAAAGTAAATTAATAATAATAATAAAATTAAAAAAAACAGCCATTAATTAAAGAACCTAACATATATCCACTTGTAAGATTTGAGGCTTTCACGGCAGTGACTATGAAGAAAGCAGTCTTCTGGGATTTGGCACCGTGGATATGTGGTGTTAACCGACATTTCGGAGGAACGTATCGCCTCCATCTTCAGGGTAGAAGGAAAAATATAAGAAATCTGCAAGCGAAGAGACTGTGAGAACTGGTAAAAGCAGACCAGTCTTATATTTTTCCTTCTACCCTGAAGATGGAGGCGATACGTTCCTCCGAAACGTCGGTTAACACCACATATCCACGGTGCCAAATCCCAGAAGACTGCTTTCTTCACATATACATTTTCCAAAAATATCATTAATATGAGATATATGGAACAACAAATTTTTCCCATACAATTTTGGCACCCCGGCACATGTCTCCTATATTTCTACAAAATGAAATGTTTGTTCCTTCGCACCCCATACTCTGGCTTGAAGAACCCCTGCTTCTCCCACCAACTGTACCATGCTGCTTCAACAAACTGTGGGCTGTACGCATCAGGCATAGGACACGTTGTATCCTTCTTCTCTCCCTCTGGTGTTGGAATGCTGTATATGGCTGCCTCTCTCACTTCCTTTTTCTTTTCCTTCTTCTGCAATACCAAGAAAAATTCCATTATCAATTAATACATCACAGTTGTTTGCAAATCAACCATCCAATAGAATCACATCACTTTCTCAGTACTATCTCCCCTTGAAATGTTAAAAACAATTTTAAAGAGAACAACGAAAGGCATACCAATATCCCATTATAATTTGCCTAATCATGAGTCTACCAATATGAACGTTGAGTCGTGAATGATTATGAATGCAATTACTGTCATAAAAGGAAATTGGGATCAGCACCAAAAAGATTAATAAAAAACCGGACTGCAATCTTTGAGCTTAGTTATCTCAACTTAGAACAGATCAGGAAATATATACAATTATGGCACATCCACGCTCTTATTACCTCTAGATTTTCAATTCACTAGTGCAAACTATTGATTTTTTCAACTGACCCAATCCTTCCAGCTGCTCTATGGACCTGGGGTCAACTAAGCCTCTAGGAATCTTCCTGGGGATAAAGGGTGGCCAGCGCATAAGGCTGACATCGCCACCACCCTGTGAGCCAACTCTCTAGAAAATGTGGAAAGCCAACATCTCATAACCCTATGGTTACAGGGAGAGGTTTACCTTTTTACATCAAATTGATGTTGTCTCATAAATAGCATAAAAATTGATTTTTCAAGCAAATATATATAAAGTATTTTAAATGTGTCCTTGCACACTTAACACAGTAAACACTTAAATGCTGAAATCGTGCAAATTATAAACAAAGAAAAAAAGTAGTTTCATCTTCTGGACTATACCACAACACAACCCACTGAATGTAAACCGATGTTTCAGAGGAGCATGTCACCTCCAACTTCAAGGTCAAAGAATAAGCCAAGCAAGAAAGCAGTGCGACGCAGGTAGCAACTTCTACCAGGTTCACTTGGCCTCTTGACTTTAAATGGACTACATAGCATTACATCCAAGAAGATAGAACTCTTCATAACCACCAGTGGTTGGCCATGACTACTGTTACCCCCCCCCCTTCCTGAACACACCTCCAACAATGAATGAATGAATGAATAGAAACTTCATATTCTGCCTGCCTCACACCCCAGAAAGGTATCTTGATGAGGCTATTCACGGTATCAAATTAGATTAGAGAAACATCTGCCTTGCCTCTTCATATCTATTAAAAGAGCACTGTAGACAATAACAATAACAATAACAATAACAATAATAATAATAATAATAATAATAATAATAATAATTTGATTCAGTTCATGTTTATTTATGTGCAAACTTATCAGCACAGAGGCCAATTACAAAGTTAGCATGAGTACAGAGAAATACACAAAAATAAAGAACGAAATACAAAACATGACAGTCTATACAATGGCAATAAATTAGTAATAAAGTAAAGTAAAGCAATCCCTGTACCAGGCCGTGAAGGCCCATAGGGTTATGAGACGTTGAGGGTCCCACATTATCTATACAATCGGCTCACAGATGGTGGTAAGGTTGTCAGCCATACACGCTGGCTGCCCTTTACTCCCCAGGAAAATTATTTAATTAATTCCTGATACTCATTTCTGTTAGAGGCTGAGTCAACCCCAGGGCCATAGTGTGGCTGGAAGGATTAGGTCAATTGAAAAAAATCCAGTGACCTCATTGGGACTTGAACCCGTGACCTTCCAGCTTGTAGCACAGCCCCTCAACCAACAACGCCACCGCGTAATTCCAAGACAAATAATAATAATCTGTATATTATATTATTGACCTTCATCAATAGGATAATGCTTTGCACCTATTAGTTGTGAGCATTTCAAAAAGACACTACTGTCATTTCCATCTGAAAGGCAACAGAACAGAAAACGAAAGAATATGTGTATCAGCTCTCATGAATTCTAGTTGAGTGATATAGCAGACAATATTATGGTTTTCCAAAGGCGAAATTTGAGGTAACACATCATGGAAGTGTTTTTTTTTTATTATTATTATTTTGTTGGTGCATACCATTATTACTCTGCATAAAACACAATATTAACTATCTCAAAACCGTTAGATCTATGGAAATATGATACCTGGCATAAAATGTATGTTCGATTTTTCTCTACAATTGGGCAGATACAGTTGAAGTCCTCACAGGAACGCATTCAAGTCTTCGTGTAAAGATCCCGTTATTGTTATGCGATAATCAAAAACTGAATGGATCAATACATGTTTGTAAACTCCCCAACGTCAAATTTCAGCGGTTACCGACAAGTTATATGCAGACAGGTGGTCAGGTAGCTCATTTTTGTAACTTTTCGTTATGAAAAGGGGGGGGGAGGATGAGTTAGACCATTGTTGCGGTGGTCCTCCCGCTGATAGTTAAAAATCGTGGCTACGCTGTCACTGCAAGTAAAATGATTCGAAATGTGAAATCGATTTAATTTGTGTAAGTCTTAATAATTACGGTATACTGAAAATTCTGGTGCATTCCCAAAAACAGGGGAGTGCGCAACTTTCAAACACCGAAAAAGCGCTTACTATATCACACACTGCCATATGTAAGCTAGAACTTCTGCATCCGATACCAATAATACAAACCTCGACTTTTTCTTTCGTTTGTACTGGCGCATCCTTTTGCTTATCCTTCTTCTGTTTAAATTTATCAAGTTTTGCTATCTTCTTTGCTTCTTTTTGCAACTGCTTTGCAGTTTTGGGGGGCTCTTCCGAATGGCCACATTTACTTCCAAGGCCGTTGGCATTTCCACTGAGGCCTTCGACATTTCCGTTCACAATACATACGCTTTCAGACATTTTTTGCGAATGAAGTTTACTTTTCAGCACACGTTAAATACTCACTCGCAGCCTAACAGAACGAAAGCCTAAACTTGCTTCAGCCACATTGATACTACCTTCACGACCGTTCACGATAACCACGCGATAGAACTTGCCTAACCAACCCACATCAACGTGACGTCGGGATCCTGATCCGTACCTTCAGTCGTATCACTATGCAACTAAAACCTGCATTACAGCGATTACAGCATACAGCACGATACAGCGTGTTTCGCGCAGCGAGTGAGGCCATGTTACACAGTACGTCAAACAATGCGAGAGGCCATGTTACACAGTACGTGAAACAATGCGAGGGATTTAAAAAAATGGCATGTGCATCATAAGAAATCTGAGGTTTTCGGTGTGTCTGTGAAGAATGTTACTGTCTGGTATGTGATGCTGTGTAAACTGCATTCCATGGATCCAAAGTTAGTCAAAATGACTGTAGGATGTGGAATATGCCTCCATCTTCACTGTCGAAGGGCAAGCAACAAGGAAACGGAGAACAGGGTAAATAAAAAACTTGCTTGCTTTGCTTACTACTTGATCCAGAAGAATAATGTAGTACGTAGCTCCGAAACGTCAGTAAACCATTAGACTACATAGTGTCTTGTCTCACAGAGCATCCTTCATGAGCACCATTATTCATGCAACCTTGGAATAAAACCACGGTTACCTATATAGGTTGTTTGATGACGGCGGATGACGGTTCGGATTACCGAAATACGAAACATAATCTGGATATAAATACACACACTGTTCACAGATATCTTGTTGTATAAATGTTATATTATACAGTGCAAAATAATAATTATCTGCGTACATAAATATCTAGATAAATCACGATATTAACAGTTTAAAGTTCTATAACTGGCTGTGAGGAATCGTAAGACAACGCAATTGTGAAGTGTGTACTCGTGCACGCGTGTTTATTCCTCTGCCGGTTTTCTGTCATGGTATGTCGTTAAGTGGTATGAATCAGTTAAGTTAGGAGCACGTGGTGGTTTGAAGAAATGTGAGCGAAAGAAGATTGAAGTTAAAGTATACAAGATCTAAACTACATATAATCGTGTCAAGGATGGCGGCAGCAAAAGATATTTTGAACTTCGGTGTTATCCAAAGGAAATCAAACGCAGACAGTGTCACTCCACATAAACTTGCTGTTGTTTTATTAATAAGAGAGTTTTGTGTACTTAAAGCTAAAGGTTAGTACCAAAAAATATACTAGTTGCGGTTTAATTGCATGGTATGGTTTAAATTAGAACAACGCATTGAAATTAGTTGGAAATATTACAGGCATGAGGGCCATCAGGATTTTTCCGCAGAGAAGGGGGGCGCAGCCGAAAAGTTTGCTTATAAATTTGCGTTTAAGCTAGTTCAGTCGATATAACAACTTATTACGGGCTGATGGTTGGAGTTCGATTCCCGGCAGGTGCAAGATGTTTTTTCCTACTCAACAGTGACCAGACTGACCCTGGGGCCCACTCTCTTTCCTATCGAATGGGCGCTAGGGACTCTTTCCTCAGGGTTAAAATGGCTAGGACGAAACCACTTCATTTAGTTCCAAGGTCAAGAATGGTGGAGCTATACCTCCACACCTTCATGCATTAGCATGGCATGGTGCAAAATTTATTAATCACAGAGACAGCCTCATCTTCTTACTTTGTGTTTCCATTGTTTTTAATTTAGATTCTTTTTTTTTTTTAATCCAGTTCAGGGAGGGCAGTTTGGTGTATATTTGTTACCATAATAACATTTGAACTTAATGAACTGTAAACATTCAATTGAAATAAAACCAGTTGTTTCTAAGTTACAGATCAACATACAGACATACATTCCATTGTATTTATGCAGATAATGTTGCCATTACACACAAGGAATGTTAAAATTCATTGTCCCTGGCTGGTGAGGTACTGTTGTTCTGTTGTATGATACCCAGATATTGACAGCTGTAGGTAGAGTGTTCAAAGGGGAAGGGAGGTCTGTATGGTCAGACATCTGCTGATCGTATCACTTATTACAGGGTAGCCCACCTTTAGCCATGGACATTCATGTAATGGTTGACTACAAACAGGAACAGCTATGCTAAGAAAATCGATTTTTAATGCACATGACACAAAATTTCTTGGATTACTTATAGGCGGTACACTGTCTTGGAAATTACATATTGAGCAGGTACTGCACGTGCTAATTGTAGATTCTTATGCACTCAGATGTATTAAATCCTACATGTCTCAGGAAGTAATGAAAATGGTTTACTATGCTTGCTTTCACTTCGCTGTGTCATATGGAATAATATTCTCAGGAAACTCTACACATAGCACAGAAATCTTCAAAATGCAAAAGAGGGCAATTAGAATTATTGCAGGAAGCAAGAATAGAGATTTTTGCAGAGATTTATTTAAAAACTTAAAAATATTATCATTTCACTCACAGTACATACTCTCACTCCTGTTATTTCTGGTAGACAACAAAAGCGTGTACAGTTTAAATTCTGACATCCATAACATAAATATGAGGCAAAGACTCAACTTCCACCAACTTTCAGAAAATCTATCTTATATCAAAAAGGAGTTTACCCTTTGGCATCAAAATGTTCAGTAGCCTCCCTCAAAATTTCAAAAAATCAACTGGTAATATTACGCAATTTAAAACTGCATTGAAACATTACCTACTCACCTTCTTGTCCATAGAATAATATTTGAATGTAAACAAATCGTAACTATTATCAGTATTAAGCTAAACTGTATTTCCAATCATGCTACTGTATCGTTTTGCTTATTAGCAGACTCTGCTGTATGTATCAAATTAGCATGGTAATATTAATACTGTATTATAATCTTATTAACTTTTCAAACTAAACTCTTATTGTATTGCTTGCTATCAGCCTGTACTTGGATTTACAGAATGTAAATAAATTCAGTTTCAAATTCAAAAGTAGTAATACTAAGGAATATTCTTCATTTTTGCAAAATATAAGACATGCAAATAGAGTGAAATGGTATAAGCTGATGTGTGAGTTTGACCTCCTTATCTGCAGCCCGAACAGATCAACTGCTGAAATATGAGGATGGCAGCTTCTTCAGTGTTGAGCCACAGCATAGGCGAGATTTCTGCATGCTGGTGTTGAAACTAATTCAGGTAAAGTTACTTCTTGATTCCAAAATTATTTCATTATGTATAATGGTGGCACATGTTTCGCCAAAATTTGGAATTTATTTTAATAATTTTTGAGAGGTAATTAATGTTTGGGGGAATGCAGTAGCATAGTTGGTTGAGGCACTATACTACAAGCCGGAAGGTCGCAGGATCGAATTCTGATGAGGTCATTGGATTTCTTTCAATTGACCTAATCCTTGGGGTCAACTCAGTCTCTAACAGAAATGAGTACCAGGAATATTCTTGGAATCTTCTTGGTAGTAAAGGGTGGCGGGCGCGTAGGGCTGACAACCTTACCGCCATCTGTGAGCCGATTGTCTAGAAAATGTGGGAACCTCAACATGTCACAACCCTATGGGCCTCCATGGCCCGTTACAGGGATAACTTTACTTTTACTTTAATTGAATATTTAGCTTAAATTACATTCTTAGCAAATGTACTGTAAGCATATTGTGACCCTCTGGATTATGACACCATGCAGTCTGGTAGCTGGGTAGCAGCACTTTGGAGGAACATTCTATATCTGCCCTCTACCCTGCTATGGTAATCTACGTAGGCGAGTCAAATGAAAACCTTAAATATTTTTTTAATATTATTTATTGTGCACAGGTGATACAAAGCTGTATCACTTTTCAACATAATCTCCCCCACGCTCAGTGCAAGTCCTCCAGCACTTACAAAGTGCATGAATTCCTTTAGAAAAAAATTCTTTTTGTAGTCTGCGCAACCATTCATGCACCATGTGGCATACCTCTTCATCAGAACGGAACGTCTTTCCTCCCATTGCTTCTTTGAGTGATCCAAACATGTGGAAATCACCGATGAGGAAGACACTCAAAATGCAGGTCATTGATTGTCGCAACTGTTGTACGGGCAGTATGGGGCCTTGCATTGTCATGTTGCAAACGGATACCTGTGGACAGCAATCCACGTCACTTTGATTTGATTGCAGTCCGAAGATGATTTTTTAGGAGATGTGAGTATGATGCACTGGTGACAGTGGTCCCTCTAGGCATGTAGTGCATGTAGTGTGTGTGTGTATATATATATATATAGAACCACTACTGTAAGCACTATAATTTATCTAATGTTTTATTAAAAATCAGTATACTCAATCACTATATTTTAATGAATTTTGTACTACTTTACCCTTCTTTTTCTAAGCAATTTGAGACAAAACTTATAGACTCATAAATATTGTAAAAGTATGTAAACAAATTTCCTCTTATAATGACTGAGAATCTTTTGCAAATATCTGTTGTGATAATTTTTATTGCATTGGTCTGGATATCACAAAATGGAGACTTATTATCAAATGGCGTACATCTCCCTTATGGACATGTCGGGACAATAAGGCACAGCAGATGCTTTGGGCAGCAGTCACATTGCAGGGCTAGTGGTATGGCAGAAACTGAGGAAAAGCAAAATAAAATGACGAAATTAATAAGATGCCCCTAAGTTCTTTAAGCTATTACGACAGTTGTCTTCATTACCATATTCTACCGTGTATAATATTCACAGTACAGTACAATACGCCAGTGGCTCCACTGGGTATACATGGAAAAATTTAAGCTAAGTGCATAATAAAATAATTGTAACCAAAAACTAACCTGAAAATGGGATACATGTGCGGAAACATGCCACAAAATACACCTGCTGAAAATTCCGCTTCTGTGTTCACAGGAATACAGTAAACTTTATCACTAGTGATTTGCACAACGGGATGTTGCAAAACGTGCGATTATGGAAATATGTGGAAATCATAAACTTTGAAGAGAAAAATTTGTTGTATAAAACTCCATATGAAGATCTTGCCACTTTGTCACCTGGACAATTAACTTGATTTCCATATCGTACCCAATCATAATATGTAGAGCCAGCCGCTAGTCCCTCTCTTGAGTTACGTGTATCCAATCCACATTTCACCGCTATGAACCAGAGTTGAAATTTCTTTCTATAGGATTCTGATGATAGAAAGGTAAACTCAGGATAGTTGGGGTTGGTGTACTTCGTCGTCTGGATATTCCGAACAGAACAAAACGAAGACTTCTGCTCTTTAACGTTATGTAGTTCGTTGAAAGTCAACTAGCGTTTCGGAGGGACATATCACCTCTTCAAGGTCAGATAATAATAGAAATAAGAAATCCTACTGAAGCAGATAGAAAGATTTGCATGGATTCATTTCTCATAACGCTCTGTTCTATTTTGAACGTCAAGTCATGGGTACAATCACTAGTAGGTGAACAAAAGTTAAAGCTGGCCCCGTAACAGGCCGTGGAGGCTCATAGGGTTGTGAGACGTCGAGGCTCCCGCATTTTCTAGACAGTCGGCTCATAAATGGCTGTAAGTTTATCAGCCGTATGTGCCGGCCGCCCTTTACCCCCAGGAAGATTCCTGGTACTTATTTATTTTAGAGGCTGAGTCGACCCCAGGGCTATAGTGCGATAGAAAGGTTTAGGTCAATTGAAAAATCCAGCTACCTCATCGGGAATCGTACCCGCGACCTTCCGACTCGTAGCATAGTGCCTCAAACACCATACCGCAAGCACCATATAAGTGACTAATGGAAATTTATTAGTTTGAAAAATTTCGAATTCCCATTACAAAATTTCATCGAAATATATTCAGCTCTTCCCTACAAAACCAAGTAGGCTGATGCGGCAAACCTCCTCTCTTGACTTCAGGAGGTTCTCACGGAATGTCCTCAGCGGTATTGTTTTGTGTATTTCTTCCCGGCAGGAGAATGCACCATGACTGATCCTTCCCATCCATGTTCACTATCATCCAGTCATTTGAGTTACACAGACCGTCGTTAAATATACTACGTATATATAATAAGCGATTAAATGGACAGTCCATCATTTATCTTCTCGCTATGAACTCCGTGCAAAGAACAAGGAGCATGCGACATGCTCCTCCGCCAGGCTCGGTTTCAAGAGGACATCAGACCACTCTCTTTCGTAAAAGTAAAATGTAAAGCTATCCCTGAACAGGCCGTGAAATCCCATAGGGTTGTGAGACGTCGAGGCTGCCACATTTTCTAGACAATCGGCTCACAGATGGCGGTGAGGTAGTCAGCCTTACACGCCGGTATGCCGCCCTTTACCTCCAGGAAGATTCCTGATACTCATTTCTGTCAGAGATTGAGTCAACCCCAGGGCCATAGTGCGGCTGGTAGTATTAGGTCAATTGAAAAATCCAGTGGACTCATCGGGAATCGAACCCGCGACCTTCTGGTTTGTAGCACAGTGCCTTAACGCTACCGCGTGCCCCCAATTCTATTTTGTACCTCATGGAAATTGGAAGGTTATTTAACAGTACTGTATCAACTGCGACGAGTTTCGTACAGCTAAGTCAGTAAAGAAATTGACTGCTAATTACACGGCTTGGGTTTGTTTGCCGGAAGAATCAGAGATTTTTCTCTGTTCGCTACACAGCTTCTGCGTCTACCTAGACTAATATCAGAGAAATAACGTGGGATATTTCACAGGTGATTAAGCGGCCATAGCGTGAAGCTGACCAGTTACCTTAATCTGAAGATGAGATCTGTAATATGTGCATATGCTCTCATGCTCCGTATGCACATTCGTGGCAAAGAGGCTTCGTATGTGTTGCACCAGTTTGTGAGTATATTTCGAAACATTTTGTATTGGTTAGACTCATTGCTTCATAAAGGCGCTTATCATTCGTGTGCTGTGCTGTCATTGGCAGTAGGTGGACTTGAGGATTCCACTGAAGGCAGACCAACTGCGTTTTACATCTGTGCCTCTGAGAGCTCTCTGAGAATTTACATGACACTGACTCATGTGAACATGATCAGATAAATACATCCTCGGAATTATATGATGTATATTTATTGTGTACTTTTGCAAACATGAAACTAATGCAAACGTACATAAAAATTCTGTTCTTACAATATAGAAAACACACTGTGTCCTCATTAGGAAAACCAGCCGGTTAATGCTGTTTAAGAAGATAGTCACTCTTTATTGTGAGGCCACGTTACGTCAAAGTTTGACGATTCAGACCTGTAGATTAGAAGTGGTCGGTTCGAATATAGTCCGAGACGTCAGCTAACCTGACAAATTTTTCGTGGTTTGCCTCAGTCCGAGCAATTTCTAGGATAGCACCAGACTCTGACGCAGTCCCCTTCGCCGGTGTCTCTGCTATCGCCGTCGTCTGCGTTTGCGATTTCCCGGTAATTTTTCGCTGCCATGTCCCATTCGCGGGCGTCTATTCTGTGGCCGTGGCCCCTCACTGCCATTGGGTGTGTTGTGGCCGTCGTCTTTGGATGTACCCTCGCCGTCGGCTGTCCCTGGGTTGTCACACTCGCCGGTGATTGTGTTCTCGCCGACGAAGTTGTGTGCGCTGTCGCCCTCGCCTTCGCTCGTCAGCGGGCGACAGAGCACACAACGACGTCGCCGAGAAAACTATCACCGATGAGTGTGTGTTTACGCTGTCCCCCACGCCATCGCTGATCAGTGGTGTTTCGCTGTCGTTTTTGCCTGGGCTTTGGTCCTCGGCTATCGCTGGGCCGTCACCCTCGCCATTGGATGGTCCTTCTCCAGCGAATGTCTCTGGGTTGTTGTCGACGGCTGTCGCTGGACTGTCGTTGTTGGGGGTCACTGGGCTGTTGCTGTCGGCTATCGCTGGGCGGCCACCCACTCGCCGGTGATTTTGTTCTCGCCGTCGTAGTTGCATGCGCTGTCGCCCTCGCCTTCGCTGGTCAGCGGGCGACAGCGCACAGAAAGACGTCGCCGAGAAAACTATCACCTGCGAGTGTGTGTGTGCGCTGTCCCCCACGCCATCGCTGGTCAGAGGTGTTTCGCTGTCGTTTTTGTCTGGACTGTGGTCCTCGGCTGTCGCTGGGCCGTCACCCTCGCCATTGGATGGTCCTTCTCCAGCGAATGTCTCTGGGTTGTCGACGGCTGTCGCTGAACTGTCGTCAGGGGTCACTGGGCTGTCGCTGTCGCCGTTCGCTGGGCGGTCACCCTCGCCATTGGATGGTCCTTCTCCAGCGAATGTCTCTGGGTTGTCGTCGACGGCTGTCGCTGGACTGTCGTTGTTGGGGGTCACTGGGCTGTTGCTGTCGGCTATCGCTGGGCGGCCACCCACTCGCCGGTGATTTTGTTCTCGCCGTCGTAGTTGCATGCGCTGTCGCCCTCGCCTTCGCTGGTCAGCGGGCGACAGCGCACAGAAAGACGTCGCCGAGAAAACTATCACCTGCGAGTGTGTGTGTGCGCTGTCCCCCACGCCATCGCTGGTCAGAGGTGTTTCGCTGTCGTTTTTGTCTGGACTGTGGTCCTCGGCTGTCGCTGGGCCGTCACCCTCGCCATTGGATGGTCCTTCTCCAGCGAATGTCTCTGGGTTGTCGTCGACGGCTGTCTCTGAACTGTCGTTGTCGGGGGCCACTGGGCTGTCGCCGTCGGCGTTCTCTGGGCGGTCGCCGTCGGCTTTCGCTGGGCTGTCACCCTCGCCCTTGGCCATGTTCCCTCCGTCGTCGGTCGCTGCTCTGTTGCACTCGCCGCTTGCAGCGCTTTCGCCGTGGACAGTCGCTGAGATATCACCCTCGACGTTGGGTGTGCTGTCGCCCTCGCCATGGCTGGTCAGTGTGCGTTCGCTGTCGTTTTTGCCTGGACTGTGGTCCTCGGCTATCGCTGGGCGGTCACCCACTCGCCGGTGATTTTGTTCTCGCCGTCGTAGTTGCATGCGCTGTCGCTCTCGCCTTCGCTGGTCAGCGGGCGACAGCGCACAGAATGACGTCGCCGAGAAAAGTATCACCGGCGAGTGAGTGTGTGTGTGCGCGCTGTCCCCCACGCCATCGCTGGTCAGTGGTATTTCGCTGTCGTTTTTGCCTGGGCTGTGGTCCTCGGCTCTCGCTGGGCCGTCACCCTCGCCATTGGATGGTCCTTCTCCAGCGAATGTCTCTGGGTTGACGACGACGGCTCTCTCTGAACTGTCGTTGTCGGGGGTCACTGGGCTCTCGCCGTCGGCTTTCGCTGGGCTGTCACCCTCGCCCTTGGCCATGTTCCCTCCGTCGTCGGTCGCTGCTCTGTTGCACTCGCCGCTTGCAGCGCTTTCGCCGTGGACAGTCACTGAGATTTCACCCTCGACGTTGGTTGTGCTGTCCACATCGCCATGGCTTGTATGTGGTCTTTCGCTGTCGTTTTTTCCTGGGCTGTGGTCCTCGGCTATCGCTGGGCCGTCACACTCGCCACTGGATGGTCCTTCTCCGGCGACTGCCTCTGGGTTGTCGTCGACGGCTGTCGCTGGACTGTTTTTGTCGGCGGTCACTGGATTGTCGTTGTCGGCGTTCGCTGTACTGTTACCTTCGACCTTGGCCATGTTCTCTCCTACGTCGGTTGCTGCTCTGTCCCACTCGTTGCTTGATGCACTTTCGCCGTGGTCAGTTGCTGAGGTATCAACCTCGACGTTGGGTGTGCTGTCACCCTCGACGATGGGTGTGCTTTCGCCCTCGCCATCGCTAGTCAGTGGGCTGTCACTCTCCTTCCCTCGGTAGTAGTCCTCGGCTATCCCTGGGTCATCACACTCGCCATTGGATGGTCCCTCTCCGGCGACTGACACTGGGCTGTCGTCGTCGGCTGTCGCTGGACTGTCGTTCTCGGCGGTCATTGGGCTTTCGCCTTCGGCGTTCGCTGGGCAGTCACACTCGCCCTGGGACATGTTCCCTCCGTCGTCGTTCGCTGCTGTGTCACACTCGCCGCTTGCTGCGCTTTCGCCATGGACAGTCGCTGAGATATCACCCTCGACGTTGGGTGTGCTGTACCCCTCGCAAAGGCTTCTCTGTGGTCTTTCGCTGTCGTTTGTGCCTGGGCTGTGGTCCTCGGCTATCGCTGGGCCGTCACACTCGCCATTGCATGGTCCTTCTCCGGCGACTGCCTCTGGGTTGTCGTCGACGGCTGTCGCTGGACTGTCGGCGGCGGTCACTGGACTGTCGTTGTCGGCGTTCGCTGTACTGTGACCCTCGACCTTGGACATGTTCTCTCCTTCGTCGGTTGCTGCTCTGTCCCACTCGTTGCTTGATGCACGTTCACCGTGTCCAGTCGCTGAGCTATCACCCTCGACTTTGGGTGTGCTGTGGCCGTCGCGGTTTGTTCTCATCTGTGATCAGAGAATTAGTATTCATTGTGAGTTTTCTTTGGTTTGAATAACTAAACACAGCAAAGTGCTTCACACACGCATTGTATTATGAAAAATATGAACATATGTTTGGAAACGGCTTGTTGAACACTGCCTAAACACCGGAATGATAAGATGAAAGGAATATAACCCATTTCTCGACAACTAATGGTTAAGACAAATTCCGCGTCAAAGAAACATCTTGGAGGGATCAAAGCGTTGCCACGAATTAACACAAGACTCCGACACAACAGATTCATAAAACACAGTGATTGAGCCCTTGAACATGGTGACTTTTAGGATAACCGCGTAGTATTTATAAAAGTCAGTGAATTCATGGGACAGATTTCGTTCAAGGAATTCAGGAAGTCATTCATAAGAAAATTCAGATGGCAATTCTATAGTTGAAGATAAGTTTCGTTACAAAGCAACGACGACTCTGCAGACGTTGAATACTTTATTTTATGTGTTGTATATCCAGTGGTCTCTAGTGTTATAATTGCCGGTCACGGTAGCCGAGCGGTGTAAGGCATGTACTGTCTTCGCTCGATTGGAAAACGGGATCGTGGGTTCGAATTCCACTCAGGGCATGGATGTTTAGTTTGTGTGTGTGCGTTTTTCTGTGTTTGTGTACAGGTAGAGGCCTTGCGACGAGCTGATCACCCGCCCAAGGAGTCCTACCGAATGTGTAAGATGTAGAAAAACCGAAGTGAACGGAGAAGTTCATGGAGGTGGGCCAAGGCCCACTGGGGCTATAGTGCCAAGGAAAAAGAAACTGTTATACTTATTTGTAGTTACTTCTTGTGAGTGTCCAATAATTCTATTCATCTTATCCAGGATCCATTCTTTTTATTCACACCAATCAGGAATATGTGACAGTACGTATTTTTTGTGAGTGTCCCCGTGCCAAGATGGAACGGTGTTCCATTCACGAGTACATAAGAATACGCCATTAGCAATTATGCTCAGATAAATAAACCCCACAAGCTCACACAGTAATTATGAATGCTAATATGACCATGCGATATGCAGTATATCGCGGTAATCGGGAAGGTCTCTCGCGTTCAAGCCTTACACGTGTATGATGACTTCAAGGTGTGCTACAAGCCTCTTATCTTTTCAAATTCGTATTAGATGTAATAATTTATTTTTCTTTTGTTTCTATTTATTTCATGAATTTCATATAATGTTGTGGCGTATTGACTGGTCGCAAACGATGACTCTAAAACAGCTGCATTTGCTCGGTAACGGCCTAATTATACACGCACGCAACAACAGTTTTCTTATTTGTCAGAAGCGAGAAGTTAATTTCACTTTGACTTTGAATTTGTTCTCATAAATTATGGTCATGAGCCCCATGGGACTTGAAGCCAAGGTTCATTGTGCTGTTGAGGGCCAGCAACAGTTTAACAGCCAGCTAAGTTCAGTTGTGAGACAGTGGCCAGTCTGGAATGACGTGAGCACGGAAGCTGAAAAACCTCCGCTGTTAGAAACCATTATCTAGAAACGAAGAGTGCAGGCACTACGGTTTGGAATATAGATAGCGTGGATACTAGTGATGTGTAAATTTTGGAGATTAGCGATGGCGCTACAATTAAGTGTAGTCACGGGTTGTGTGTTAAAGTGGTCAGTAAACGAGTCACCAAAACCGATTTCCCTATGTAGTCACTCATAGACGTGACTGTTTCTACAACACAACTAATTTGACAGTTTGCCAGAAGCACATTTTGTTCATTCAGCAAGATAATCTGCTTTTTTAATTTCAGTATGAACAGGTCTGAAATTTGCTTACCTTCTCGCGTACCCATCTTCTTATCCACTCGAAGCAGCCGCAGGTGGACCAGTCTCGGGAGTGATTCGTGCCTTCTCCCGTCACTTCTGGGTGTCTCAGGTCATAAAAATCTTCGTCGATGTCCGGATCGTTCTGGAAAGGACAAAGAATTTGATCCAGCTACAGTTTATATTTTAGTCTGCAAGGCTGCTTGTGAATTCTATAAAATTCTTACTTCCAAAATTGTTCAGTCAACATGATAATCTGCCGTTTTAATTTCTGTATGAACATGCTGAAATCTGCTTACTGTGAGGCACAAGCATCTTCGGACCCAACCAAAGCAGCCGCTGCTTGTCTTGTCTGGGGAAAATGTTGCGCTCTCTCGTAGTTCGTCATAAGGGGCGCCGTAGTAATGTTCCGTTTCGGCGGGAAAATAAGGATTGATTCTCCCCGCCCCACCCTCCATATCGCCGTAGTAATGTTCCGTTTCGGCGGGAAAATAAGGATGGATGTTCCTCTCCTCACCCGGCATAGCGAAACCAGGAAGAGGTATGTTGCCAGACATTTCTTGGTTCGTTCACGTTGTTATGTATTAGCTATCTGAAATAAGACATAATTTGGTTGAAATCTAATAACTAAAAAAGAATACTCGTATATGTGGGTGTGTGTTTTAACGTTCTGCTTTAAAAAGAAACTAACAAAATGTCACGTGTATGAGTGACCATAGACGCGGTTAGGATTTGTGAATAAATCTATTGAACATCTGCAGGTCGTAACTAGAAATAACTAGGAATAATAATATCACTGATTTCCACAATTCACAAGTAACTACATGCTAAGTTTTCCTAGTTTGCTTTTTCATTTCATTTAATGACATGCTACAAGTCCATTACAAGGTCATAGAACCCGGGATAAAGACAATAGTCTGTTATAAATCCAAAATATAAAATTTCACTTCATAATATACTCGTATATATATTAGAATAAAATCAATACTGTGGACCCTTCTGAAATAATTTTAGATTTGATAGAGGGAGATGTAATATCGAATTATTTCTAGTTGCTACTTAGTACATATCAGAATTTTCTGTAAGCAATTCGATATTATTAACAACAAACATCACAAGGGTATGTCACGCGACAAATATCTTCACGCCGTATAGGATATATTGAATTTGTTCCACTCGCTCTTGGAATCACGCCATTTACAATCTCACAAATAACTGTCATTGGCAGTACCACAAATACTAACCTGCAATTAACTGGTTACTCTGTCTCTAGTAACTGGCTCAGTACTCACTTCTTCGTAACTGGCTAATCACTCACTACTGAATCGTGTTTACTGTTCGTTATTTAGCCTCGTCGCGGACAAAACAGAAAACGGTTACGTAATTGGTGCCGCTGTTGCGTGACGTCGTGTTTACCTATTGCCTAGCAACACTGTCGAGAGTTGTTTACTGCTCTGTAGCAACTGCGGCATCTCTTGGTAACGTCAACGAGGGAGGAGGCCGGCTGTTGACTGGGCTGTTACTGTAGCAGCGGCAACGCTACAGAAGTGTTAACGTCAACGCTGGCGGAGTAGGGGGTGTCCTGCTTAGCGCAAATACGTCACTATATATATATATATATATATTGGGAAGGCAGTGGTAGTATTTTCAATAGGCTAAAATTCTTTCTGCATTAATCTCTTTTTGAAGGTCCCACCATTATTCGAATATCTCTCTTCAGATTCTCATTCTATGAGTTCTGTTTGCTCCAAAAATTAAACCGTAAGACATAAAAGAGTAGATAAATGCATAATATCCCATTTTGATTGCTTCAATACATAAATACTGTTTGGTTTTCCTAATTATTTAACTGGCTTTATTTAATTTACTTATGATTGAACCCATATGCTTTTCCAAGAATTTATGTTATCCAGGTTTATGCCCAAGAATTTTACCTCATTTGCCTCTAATAAAAATGTATTTTCATATTCAATATTTAATTTGTTGCCCAATTTTATTTAGCTAAGATATGCACGCAGCAGGTCTTGTCAAAATTTGAGGAAAGCATGTTTAAATTAATCCGTTCTTTCATTAAACTAAACTCTATATTGAGTCTCCTTTCCAGATGTATAAAATTTAATTAATTTCCTATTACACTCGTATCCTCGGCAAATAACACAGAAAAAGTGTTCCATACATCAGAACGCAGTATAAAAGCTGGCAAGACATTTATATAGATCAGAAATAACAGCGGTCCCAAAATCTATACTTTTGGAACACCTATATTGCTTTTGCCCCTATTTGACAACTTTTTGCTAAATTTTACCCTTTTTTATATATTTTCTAAATATGACTTAATTAGAGAGTATATCAGGCCCATTAACACAATAGTGTTCCATTTTAGCTGATATAATACTAGTCCTCACCTGGTAATGAATTTTAACGATGAAGGTTCTCACAGTTCTGATGATATCAAATAGTGTGAAGCACTGGATATATTCCTTTAGACTTATCAATAGAAAACACGTCTCCAACAATTTGCATATTGTTGTTTACCTAACAATAGCCAAGATATCTATACCCTAGCAAGGAAAGTTTCTTCAAGCGGTCGTTGCTGGGGTTACTCTTATAAACATTAATACCAAGATACTGCGGACACTTCTGAAATTCTTTCTGATTTGATAAGTGGAGCTGTAAATTCGAACAATTTCTGGTTACTACTTCGTATATATCAGAATTTTCTGTAAACAATTCAGTATAATTAATAACAAATATAGCAAGGTAATATATATATTTTTACGTGTTGTGTGTGTCACGCGACAAATATCTTGACGCCGTATTGGATATATCGAATTTGTTCCACTAGCTCATAGAATCACACCATTTACAGTCTCACAAATAACTGTCATTGGCAGTATCACAAATACTAACCTGCAGTTAACTGGTTACTCTGTCTCTAGTAACTGGCTCAGCACTCACTACTTCGTAACTGGGTAATCACTCACTACTGAGTTGTGTTCGCTGTTCCTTATTTAGCTTTGTCACGGACAACAAAGAAAACGGTTACGCAATAGGTGCCGCTGTTGCCTTACGTCGTATTTACTTATTGACTAGCAACATTGTCGAATGTTGTTTACTGCTCTATAGCAACCGCGACATCCCGTCGAATCCTCACCGCTGGAGGGGACGTGTTGTTGACTGGGCTGCTACCGTAGCAGCGTCAACGCTCCGAAGGTATTACGTTACTGCTGGAGGGGGAGGAGGTGTCCTGAATAGCGCA